CACACACACACACACACACACACACACACACACACACACACACACCAATGCAGGGTCCCCTCAGACATGTCCCATCACCGAGACCCGGGCTTCACTTTTACTTTACTTTCCCTGATTCATTAGAATGTGAAGGATAATTACATTAATTGCAAAGACAGTTTAGTTCCGTTGAAAATAGATTACAGGTGGAATTGTTTTACCTGAATAGGCCGTAGGCAAGAAAAATTAATTAGACCTCGTGTCCTAATGCAGCTCATCTCCTTCTTTGGCCTGGTGCACCAGACGCACGCGACAGTCAGACGCACCACAGACACACGGACAAATGGTCAGGCAAATACACAACGACTTTGAGAAGCACGTTTAAGAAGAAGGATGAGGCTGACAGTGACAGGAGATGTTTGCCAGTCATTAGAAATGGGAGAAGTTAAGAGTGTGCCAATAAAAAACCATCCTGGTCCACATGTCCTGTCGCATTGATGTCTTTCGAGGGCTAATTTACCAGAGAATTTAGCAGTGTGCTGCGGATTGTGGGTGAACAGTGTCGATGAGGGCATCAGCGGTGTTACGTGTGCACCATGTCGCACTGCCGCTGTAATTGGGTGAGGCAGCATCATTATTATACTGAACACTGTGTTGGATATAAGCACCCTGCCCACAAGGGCCCGCGCTTAATGGTAGATATGAATAAGGGATGCAACACTTTGATCGCCCCCTTTAAAGAAGCTCAACATTTGAAAGAAACCTCAACACATTTCTGCTTACAACTTGCTTCTTCTGCCAACTGATGATGAAAAGCACAAGAGGACATTAATACGATGCCATTTATTTTTATTTTTTATTAGGTAACTGATAGCAAGTGTGAATTTCAAGCTGCTTTTCCCTTATTAACGCCCCCAGATAGCAAGGTGTGAAGACATTTTTACCTCTCTATTCACTTGTTTAAGCTTATATTGCTGTTTGCCTGCCAAATATGAATAAACAGAGACTTTTCTGTTGTGAAAGAGCGATCTCAGGTTTCTTTTGCTGAGATACACAGGGCTAGGGTGCACACATTGACTGACAGCAGTAATCTGAGCAGCTTGGGAGGCCTGGAGCAGCCCCAGTCAGCATGTGATCCGTGTGGTTTCTACAGGACTCCCAAAATGCTTCAGTCCCTCCTTTCACTGGAGCGCCAGATTCTGTGCTGCAGAGACAGAAGGAGAGAGCGGGAGAGATGCAGCGAGGGGTTTTCTTCTTTCTTGCATTAGCAGCTGTAACTTGACACCACCGCCTCCTCTTTGGACATGGTCCTCTCATCTCCTCTCTTCCTGCTCTTTTTCATCCTCTCTTTTCACAAGTCCCCCACCCCCTTGTCTCTCCCTCCCCGTCCGTCCAGCCTCGCGGGCAACCTAAGTGCTGCTTTCTGTCGCCATGTTGCATCAGAAACAGAGAGGCGCTATACAGTAATTAGCATCAGAAGTAGTTGCCTGCTCATCTGCCAGCCAGCCTGCCGGTCAGCCTGCTCGCCGGCCCGCCTGTCTAGCCGCCAGTGTGCTGCCAACTGCCATGCCCTATTCAAGTCCAATTCATCTAGCGCTGGATAAAAGGCTGCTTTCCTCGGGACATCCATCCCTCTGCTGGCTTTTATATTTTGTGGCGAGGCACAGGAGTGAGGATTAGCATTAAAGGGAATAGACTGCTGAGGTACACTCGGCAGGATTGCGTGAATGCCTACCTCAGTTCTGCCAAGCTGCCTTCATTCTAATTGGCAGAGATTTTAGGAGGCGGATAATTTATGTTTCTCTTCTTTCTTTTTTTTATCACAAACCTTTTTGAACCGTCTTTTGGTTTTCAGCCCCTCTCATCTTTCTCTCCCTTTGTCTTTTTTCCCCACTTCTTTTCTCCCACTCTCACCGCTCAGTCTAGTTCAATCAATTAACCAATCAATCAATTTAATTTTTTAATCCCCTTGTCCATAGAAGATAAAGATAAAGGGGATGAAAGATAAGAAGAACAATCCTTTGTTTAGGAGAGTTATTTGCATAATATTTGACATTTTGTGGAGAAGATCTCAAATGAAATGTTCGAATGAAACAATAGTATATCAAACAGCGTGTTGAGCTAGCATGACATGTTGAGCCATGTTCATAATTTTTGCTCAGCTTTTTAACATGACACCATTTGAAGATATGTAATGAAAGATGGTCTTGAGCATGTGTGTGTGTGTGTGTGCTTTATTGAAGTCAGCAGCAGCAGCTATCAAAGTAGTGTGTACGGTATTTAGAGTTTATTATATTATTAAATTAATTCACACTTATTTCAAATGAATCTTAAATCTACAGTCAAGTGGGTCATGCTTTTAACGTCGACGTGTTGTCAATGCGACTTTGTTTTAGCATTTTTATTAACCCTTTTTTCATCACGTGCAAAGAAAAAAGGATTTGTGTTTGAATAGATAAAATGTCATTGGCACTGTAATATCATTTTGGTTTTACTAACAGCTAAATAAAGGTCCTCATTGTGTCATCAGAGGCAAAGACAGCGAGTCTTTCTTCTTCCTTCATTTAATGCTTTCTCAACTTCCTGGAATTTCTTTAGAAAAGTCTGAACTACCCCAAAAAGTGTTTTCACACTGCAAATGAACCAAACCTCGAGTTATTCTGATCTGATTACTAGAAATCGTCAATTCAAATTCTTTGCCTCGAAGCTTCGTTTAATCCATGTACTGCTGGCGGATGTCTTTGGACGGTCTCTTGTACTTGTCAGTGGCCACTGTGTTTCACATGGATGACTACTACTGTTGCACAGCAACCGTGTTTAGAGTGCAGAGTTCCCCCAAAAGTGCAGACGACTGCCTGAGAAAAATCACAGATTCAGTGTTTTTTTAATTTAATTAAATTTTTTTTTTTTCACTACTTGTGCCTTGTTCCCCTGTGCATTACAAAGGTACAAGACGTTTACGCCTCATACGTTTAGTTTTTGGTGCTGCCTTCAGATGCTGTCGAACAACCAAAACACTACAAATAGTACAGCCAAGCTAAAGTCTCCCGGTGTGCACAGTTTGCCCATTTAATAAAGCATAGCGGGCTGTTTACAGTTTTTTTTTCATTGATTACACCTGTATAACTAAAAATAATCCTCAGCGTTACGTTTGATTACAGCTGGACTTATCCCCTGTATGTTCTTTCCCACAGGCGTAACAAAGTCTGGTGGCTCTAGCTCCGTCCTTTACTGTTGATCGGTGGGAAGTGAACAATTTCCCAGAAAGAAGTAATAAATATATTTTCTACATTACAGTAGACACTGAAATTACAGTCTGTGTGTTTAAAACCACAAATTCAACTTCCTTGTGATGCTTTGGGAAAAGTCAGTAGGAACTATTTTCTGTGCGCCACGAAAGTCTGCAAAAAATGTGTGGCAGTCCATTAAATAGTTTCAGTGTGGAACAATGTGAAGAGACCAATAGAACAACCGACTGATGTTGCTATTCAGAGAACCAGCATGGCCAAAAACTGTTTCAGAGAAAGCAGGAGCTCTCACAGGCCTGCCCTCTGCCTCCCTATACCTCTGACAGTACATGTGATATATGTCAGCTAGCCTGTAGGTGTGCATGGTGTCGCCATAATGGAGTGGTAAAGCTGTTGGCATTATGGATTGAGAGCGAGCGGCCCCGTCCATGAATCTGCCCCTAACTGTTCTTCTGCCTTTGTGGCCTTAACGATCGGCAGGCTCCCCTCTGTCACCGTATTTTCTCCATCTTAGTTTAGAAGCAGAGATATATTTCTCCATAAAGGCAGACACAAAGAGGGCTCGGACGCTTCGTCTGCTCCCCTACACAAAGCACTCGGGCCTGGTGGTTGATAAAGGCTTATGGAGAGGAGAGGAGGGGATGGCCAGGGACTGCTGGAAAGACCTATTCTCTCCACACACAAAGACAAGCTCTCAGTCAAGACACTATCTGTGTGCTGTAGCGCTGTTGTGAATCCCTGCGTGCGTGTGTGTGTGTGTATACCCCTTCCCTCCTCAATTTCTGTCATCAACCTCTCTGTCTCTCCTTTCACACGCATGCTAACACACACACACACATTCTTTCTTTCTTTCTTTCTTGTTAGACGATGCTAATATAGCACATCACAAAGCCCCAGTGGACAGCTCTCAGACAAAACACTCCCTTTCTAAAGCAGCTCATCTTTATGCAGAGTCTATCCAAAGCATTGCCAAAGCAAGGTCTCTTGAAAAGCAGGATTTTCACCAACGCTCAGTCACTCCTGATGTCTATTCAGTCTCACTTCATTAGCACGGCCGCTGATCACGCTAATGTTTGAGGACATCAGGTTGGTTATTAATTGCTCCCTCTGATACCGAATAGAACTCGCTGTCGACCTTGATAAATCTGCTGTATGTGACCTAACAATATCACCTGTCTGTGGTTTCTACCTGCAGAGAAGTGGGTGCGAGGCCGAGCCATCGACCGGGGCGAGGTTGACGTCGGCACCCAGCAGAGCCAGGCGATCCCGCCGGGACTTTTCTGGAGGTTTCACATGACTGTGCACCATCCAACCTACATCAAGTTCAACCTCTCGCTCTCACACAATGCACTGCTGGGGGTCTACGGACGCAGGAACATACCGCCTACACACACTCAGGTAAAGGAGGCCACTGTTAGAACATGCTGTTTACCCAGATGGGCTTATTTGCTTCAGCTACCTCAGATCACATCCAAACTAATGCACCTTTTTTCTCTTGGCCTTTCATCTACACTAAGGCAGTTTCAACTCTAATGTGCTTCAATCATGATTTCTCCATGGGTTATTTCAAACATACGAAAATACTTGTTTTGTGCCATATTTCTTTATATTATATCAGATAAAAAAATTACTGTAAATAAAATTTGCTCAGTGTGCTTAATCAATGTGATTTTCCTGCGATCCGTATCCATCGTCTCTCCCCATCTCTGCCCTGTGCTCTGCTTAATTTTCCCTGCATGCTCGCAGCCTGACAATGCGTTACAGTGAGCCACGCTTTCACCCAATCTGGAAATTGGAATTGGTTTTTGCCGATTCACTGTTTTGTCTCCAGTCAAATTGCTTGTAGATTGCTTGTACTACAGAAGAAAAGGTTGTGAATGTGCAGTGCTGCTGAAATCCAGTGGCTTGGTCGGTGACAGTAATTATTCAGTACAGTTTGAAGGTTTGGTGTTAAGGATTCATGTGCAGTAACAACTAGAGAAGTAAGGCAGCACTGGGCGAATGGTAAATAGGCATTTCTACCTTGCTTTCTTATTTGACCCCTTCCATATCTGAGGCAGGAGGGTTGTGTGATTGTGCAGCAGTGAAGCTGACTTCCTGTCACCTCTAACCTTGTCTGTGATCACTCATTTTAAAAGATCTGTAAAGCCACAAAAGACACAATACAGGTATCAATAAACTGCATTTATGCCTGTTTTGTCTGACAGGTTTGTGGGACTGAAATAATGATTTGATAGACACCTCAGTGCAGCAGAGCAGGAATTGTTGTCTGCTTGTTTAACAGATAGCATTTATGAGCCATGAACAAATCACTGTTTTATACCTGTTCTGACAACAGCACCAGATACTATGCAAATGAGAACAATTAAATTTTGAGCTCAGCTGTATTAATAGGATGATGGAAATTCAAGTTTTACTTGCTGAGACGCAGAAGAATGATCAGGCTGTGTGGCTCCTTCTCCTACCAGATGTTGGCTGTGGTGCAAAAATTCAGTTGCCAATTAAAAACAAGAGAAGAGATTTTGCTTTTTTCCCTAAGGACAAATAAAAAGTGTTGATGCATGTTGTTTTCCCAAGGAAACTGATTTGTGAGTTAGTCTCACTCCCAGACACAACACACAAACAAATATATTGTACAGAGTGTACGACACAGCATTGTGTCATGCAAGAAGCACATATACAACACACACTGAGTCGTCTTCTTTTTAACATCAGTGCACCCCTTTACTTGCCTGCATGAAGAGGTCTAATTAGCTGTTTTTGACACTAGTGTGACACACAGCCCTCAGGGGGAATAAGACTCAGCGAGTGCTTGCTAGTTCAAGGAGGTCTGAGAATGGAGAGGGAGGGAGAGACAAGGGTGGTGGGGAAAGTTAAAGAGGTTGAGAGAAAAGGAAAAAAAGCACAGAAAGGTTGAGGCAGATAAAATAGTCTGATGCGTTTGAAAACCTGGGTGGTAAAGTCTGCCCATGCTATTAGCAGCACATGGAGCTACCAAACCAACTGCCTCGGAGCGTGTCTGGTGCTGGACTGAGCTGACATGGTTGACGGTTTTCCCTCCATATTTCGGCTTCATGTTTTGCAGACATCCACATCTAATATTATTCCACCATCTTCTGGTATGCAGTAACATTCAATTGGCAGTTTCAAAAAGTTTACCCAGCAACAGCCGCACACCCCTGCACAACGTTTGGCATGCAAATTCTCCATCACATTCATTCATGTCTTTACCGTTGTCTGACTGTGTCACTGATTTGTGTTCAGTTCGACTTCGTGAAACTGCTGGATGGGAAGGCGCTTCCCAGGTCGTTGACAGATCCCATCTCACCTGCCAAAACTCCCAAAGGCCTGCTGCTGAGTGGACTCCAAGAAACAGGCTTCATCGAGTACATGGACCCCGGCACCTGGCACCTTGCTCTGTACAACGATGGACGCAACCTGGAGCAAGTGTTGCTCCACAGCAGTCCCATAGGTGAGCATGATTATTACATATTCCCCGACAGTGGCAGATTTAGCAATTTGGGGGCCCAAGATAAACACAGGCATGGGGCCCTCCACATACATTGTTCTCCACCTTTTTCAATCCAAGAATCCTACAAGTCGTACTTGTAACTTCTTCCCAACCCAACAAAACAAATTAACAATTTCACAAATGCACTCACAGTAAAATCTTATTTTCATAAACAATATGATCTCTGTACAATAAGAATGAACCATATTGTCCATTCACATGGAAGATCTGTCATCTATTACCTTGGTTTTCAGCAGGATCTCAGATTAAGTTGATGATAGGCCTCTGTCTTATATCTTGTTTTAGTTAAGTGAGAGGATCACACACAAGGAAATAGGAAATTATGGAGTTACAGAAATAATAACAAAATATACTTTTAAAAATGATTACCATTTCTCTTTGTCCCTGTCTTTTTCCTTCTCTCCCTTGAATGGTTTTATTTTAATGTCTTTCTCTTAAAAGAAACGCTCAAGTTTATCCAGCATTTCTCACTGGTTAGTGATTAAAAAATGTTTTTTTATTCATCATCGTAAAGGCCGTCATGTGAAATACCAGGAGCGAGTGAAAATGTGTTTGGGTGTGCGCACACAAACAGAGGCTCCGGGGGCCTCGCCCCCTCTCACTTGCTCAGAGCAACACAACACAATGAGATCAGAGCTTGTGCATGAAGCAGCAGGTCAGAGTCTTTGTTGAAGAACAGTGGAAACAGTGAAAACACAGTTTCTCTCTGGTCACAGCTGCTTCATGATCAGAGCAGAAGCTGCAGGTGGTTTGTATCGAGCTGGAGTTTCCTCCATCACTCTGAGCTGCTCTCACTTTAGCTAATAAACACTCATCACTAGTTATCAGGACCTGATCAGTACATTAGGTTTACTTGGTGTTTGTTTGATTCCAGAGTTTATGAGGCTGCATTTAAACATCATGAAAAATGAGTCATCCACATAATGTGTGCGCTCAGTACAACATGAGAGGCGACACACACAGGACTCAGCATGATCCGACACCATTGATTAATAACCAAACACATGATCATCATCTAAATAATCCCAATAATGGAACAAATGAATGTGAACTAGTTCATTTTCATCTGTATGAACTGAACTAGATCTTTTTTAAGTGTGAACTGGCTCAAAACTTTTCGTTATTCTCTGTTTACACCCTGAATCACATTAATGGCTTTCGCAGACGTCTGCCTCGCCCAATATTACTTGGACCACAGTGTTCTTCTTTGAGGGTATTGACGGTTTATTTATGTAGACTTTATCGCAGCCTATTGGCCCAGCATGTTTGAGTGCTTGTTGTCATCTTCGTGTTCTCGTCTGGATGGAGATATTTTGTAAAATCAAGGTTGTGTGGATGAAGGTTATTTAAAAGTGGAAAATATCCATTCAAAAAATGTCAGCAGTTACTGGCCTACAAACAAGGCCTTAGAGCTAACATAAATATCTGACCTTCTTTTATAGTTATGCAAATGTATTATGTGTTTTATCTCAGAATTCACTCAGAAAAAGTGGTCTGAAACTCATTGACATTTGAGGGGAACTTTTCCTCCTGTAAGTGTAAGCTTGGCATGGCAAGAGACAGGCGTTAGAAAGGGGAGGACAGCTCCTGTAGTAATGACAGGGCTTGCTAACTGGAGCTCATTGCTATGACACACACGGGTGGCAGTGTAAATTGAAGGATGTGAATAATGCAAGAGTACGTGGCTGAATATAGACAAGTGGATAATTACCAGGGCAGTTTCTTCACTCCCACTTTGTCCAGTGGTCCTTAAGAGAATACTGTATTCAAATAATACAAAAAAATGTTTGGGAATGTAGCACAGTGAGGGGAGGTCGGTGTTAGGGGTTTATGTGGCAGACAGGTAATATGGCAATTACGCAGCAAGTGATATATTATGATCAGGTGCAGTGTTATGAGAAGCACTCCATGAAAATGACCACTTTTGGGGTTTTTTCCCCAGTGACCTTTAATGTGCCTTCCATTACGTAGGTTTTATATAATTCAGTAAACAGTCAGGAATATAGTTTTCTCAATGCTGATCATGTAGATCACCAACCTCTTAGTTGTAAGCCAATATCAGTACACAGCTCCACAGTGCCAAAACATTGTACTGGAGACATCTTTTATCATCATATTGACAGGGCACTTTATATGATGACTGACAGTATGCAGCTAAACACAGATTTTATTTCAGAACTGTCAAACATTTGTTGACATGTCTGCTGTCTGTAAAATGTCTGGAATATACCAGACCTATTTTCAGTCACAAATTTGGAGATAAACAAGAAACATCTGCGTTTACAAAAAGTTGACTTTCCTCTTTTTTCTCATTTCCCTCCCTTCAATAATCAAAACAAATAGACACACAACAGATGGCCCCGGAATAGCAGCTTTTAGTCTGTTAAGGTTTTTCAAATAATTAATGAACTGATTTGGCTTGTAGGAGGAAAATAATATTAATGGATTGATGTCAGAGTTCATTTCACTGCCCATTTACACCTCTAACAAGGGTTACAAACACACACACCATCATTTTGGAGGCAGAAAATCTGAATCTATTGAGCTACAGTACAATAAATTCTAATAAGAGACACTGCTGCAGCCCCAGAGTGGAGCTTTATCAGGATGAGGGGGGAAATGAGATGATCTCTGTCGGGAAATTGAGCTTTTCCGCAGCAAATAGTAACTAGATACAAGAAAGAAATGGAGTATAAATAAGAGAATAGCAAAATACCATTGTGAAAATAAATAAATATAATAAAGTAAAATCAATAACAGTATAGAATATAACAAGAAGGAAAATATGAGAACCTGAGGAAAATGAAAACAATACATTGACTGATGCTGATGCAACACAATAAGTTTTTTTTTACACAATCAGCATGATTTGCTATATGTAAAACATGTGTGTTGTATGTGTTTGAAACATGCTCAAGCGAGTAATGAGGTATATGATTATGTGAGATCAAAAATACTGTCATTGACCACCACAGTAATGATCAGATTGATAAAAGTAAAAAGATAAAAACAAGCGAGTTGTGGCAGAACACTCAAATACAATGTGTTTGGTCAGCTGGTAACTGACCTGTATCATTCGGAAGACGTTATGTTGTCCTGTCATCTGTTCACGCACAGTCTCAGCCACACACACATACACACACAGCATTCAGTTATATCTTTACTCACTGCCGCTGTGGAGAAGAACAGAAGATTGTCAGCACAATGTTGATATATAGTACATACTGTAATATATGCTTATTTATATACAGTCATTTCTCAGTGATTGTCACTATCATGCTTAAATGGGTCACATATAAGTGTGGGGGGAAAGGAATAGCATCATTATATGGATTGAGATTGAATTTCCAATATTTTTTTCATAATGTTGCGAAGATAAAATAAGCAGAGAATGTAGGTAAACCATTTTTTCCCCTCCTCCGCTGTTATTGAGATTTACCTGTGATCTACAAAGGCTCTGGTTTAATGAGTTCTGCCATTTTGCCACCTTCACTCCAGTCTCCTCTTCTTTTGATTCTCATCCCTGTGTACCCAGGCACAGAGTGGTGCTTCCTGCAGTCCTATTAATTATGCATAAATGTTATACTTCAACTGTCATCACACGTCATGTTGAATATTACATGTTTTACCCAATGGCCAACAAAGTAGGAGAAAAAGGCGCATGTAGATATCTGGAACTTTTAATGAAATAGACGGAGGTAGCAACTGGATCCTTCTACTTAGCTGAGCAGCCATTTCATTTTTTTCCATCAGTTCATAAAGGCCAAGGGTCATAAAGCATGGCTGGAGGTTTACGGGCTCATAAAGTACAATTGGAATGCTTATTTGACCAATCAGATCACTTGGCTGGAAGCACCCATTTTATAATAGCATTTAACTGCAATAACTTATGGCATGAGTGATTTCTCACTGGAGAGGGTTTAGTCAGTGGAAAGAAGCGAGTGGGTGTCTCACAGATGCTCAGACTCATGTGCGCACACACACACACACACATACACACACTCAATAAGCTGTAACAAATAAAGCCATGGCTCTGTGGCTCTTTATACATTACCTGTTAATTGCCTGGAGATTTTTAATAGTTGAGACATTGACCTGAAAGATATGGAGCTTATATCACTGTTACAGCCCCGTGAGCTTTCTGACGGGTCACTCATTTCCGCTGTATTAGTGGCAACTCTGTGACCTTGCAGATTAATTTTTGCTTATTGCATGTGTCAGGTGCCAAATACAATACCAGGGGTTTGTATATGTTTTTCAAGAGCAAGAATAAGACACATGGAGGGAGGTTTGTGAGTTTCCCTGACTGTGTGTGGGAGAAAAGATGATTGCCACTCCGTCACTCCATCAGTGTGGTGATGACAGGTGATGGAGGTGAAAATGACTTTGGTTTCTGTAGTGATGTGCTGCTGTGGAGGATAACGCTACACTGCCGGCTACTGGCAGGGCTCTCTCATTAGCATGTGTCACACGTGCCTCAAGGCGGATGTCACATAATAACTTTGTGTGCATGTTTGTGAATGTGAATGTGTGCACGCGTGTGTGCACGGCCATGCCTCTGAAGGATTTGTCATTTGTGGTCCCTGAACAGAGCGAGCCAGGGGACTGCAGTGGTTTGACTCTGGAGTCGATGCCTGTTCAGAGGAGCCGAGCAGGACAGCACAGGGTCAAATAAAGGATGACATCCCTGACACCCATTTTAATTACTCTATCTAGCTTAGATATAGCTCTCCTGGCACAAGACAGCCAGCAGCACAGTTCAGATCCCCAACTCTGCCAGCCTCTGGGTACTTACTGCACCAGAATCTTCCAACTCGAGCAGAGCTGACAGAGCTCAGCAGGTTTATATATTGCTCTAAAAGCACAAATGTGCACCCCCTCTTTATCTGTCCTTGCCACACTGTCTGTACCCGCTGAATGAGATCTGACATGATGGACCTATCAATGAGCAAAAAGGAGACCGGTAAAACGAAGGCAGCTAATTGAAGTCCGATGGAAGAATATGATGAAACACTTATTGCCTGCAGAAGGATATGATGAAACACACAAATCCAGATTAGACAAAGTGCTAGTGGGAACAAGCATTGCATTGATCTTCTCCATGCAGAGAATGTAGCTACTGTAGCGACACAGCATTGCCCATTCTCCACTAACATGTGCACTCACAATGTCAGATTTTATGTTGTTCAATTTCGTTCCAAACTGTGCCCTTGTAAACAGTTTGTATATTAAGCCTTGATGTTTGTAAATTTGCACGCAGTGTGTTTCCAACCTGTAATGCTGTATAATGTGCTTAGTGCTACTGAGTGTAAGTGAGTGCTTGGCCATTCCCCAGAGAGTGATAGCAGCTGGATCAGACTAATCTAATACAGCCCCTATGTCTGGGGAGCCATCCATTGCTTATCAGATCCCTCATTCAGTAACAGAGAGCTATGCCAGTTCGTGTAGTTAAATTTGGAATATGTTCAAGTTTGTTTTTTCTCTGCCCTTTATTTCTTTGGTTGTGTAGACTCAATGGACGGTTGCTCCACAGACTGTAATGGAAATGGAGAGTGTGTGGCTGGACACTGCCACTGCTTCGCTGGATTCTTGGGTCCTGACTGTGCCAAAGGTGAGAAATACTTGATGGATGTCATTCAGATGTTTCCGAGCTCTGTCTACAACACTCTGCCCCAAGTTTGTTAATTCCAGCTGTAATTCTTTCTGAAAATAGTAAAAAATATAATTGAAAGCCTTGGTAATCTTCTTAAATAGCTGGCTACTGTATTTTTACCAAACAATGCTGAAGCCGGGGGCAAAAGGTTCATTTGAAGGGGACTATTTCAACAATGGATTACTAAACATTTGGTGCACTAGCAGATATTTACTGAATTTAAATTGTCCATGAGACATGTTAAGACCTTGGGTCTAGAACAGAGTGCACTTGTGGCAAACTAAACTGGTTGCATTCAGTTTAGAAAGGTTATCCACAGTTCACACTACAAAAACCAACCCATTAAATCCAAGGTTTAAAACCATTTTCTAATGCTCTGAGTCTTCCCAGGAGGACAATGGCCTCATTCTTTAAAAAATAGAGGGCCAGACTGCCAGTGTTGGCAGTCTGGCCAAACTAAGTAACTGAACATGAGAGGCTGCTGACATGTCACCAAGAACCCAACAATCCCTCTAACAGAGCTTCAGAAGTCCTCTGCAGAGATGGGAGAACCTGTGGGCATTGATCTCAGCAGCTCTCCATCATTCAGGCCTTTATGGTAGAGTGAATACAGAAGCCACTTTGAATAAAAGGTACATAAAAGCCTACTTGGAGTTCACCATCCAACATTTTAAGGACTTTGAGAGGAGGAGGAGGAGAGATAATATCTGCTCTGATTTGACAGAAATGTAATTCTTTGCAAGATAACTCAAAACATTATGTCTGGTGAACTCCAGACACTGATCAACATCTGCCACATACCATTCCTATGGTGAAGCATTGTGGTGGTAGCAACATTTTTTGGGAAGAATAATGCAGCCAAATACAGAGAGGTATAGAAGCATAAAGCCAAGGCAATGCTGGAGCATCTGTGGGACAAGTGTCTGACTGTCCTTGAGTAGCCCAGCCTTAAACCCTGGAGAGTTTCTGTGGAGAGACGGTTCAGACACTTGCAATCCAACGAGACAGTTTGAAAGGATCTGCCAGTGAGAATGGGATAAACTTCCCAAATCCAGGTGTTCAAAGCTTGTAGAGAGACTTACCCCAGAGGACTCAAAGCTGTAATTGCTGCCAGAGGAGCTTGTACAAAGTACTGAATTAAAGGCCTAATATTTATGTAAATGAAAGATTTCTGCTTTGTATTTATCACTTTGTTATAGTGATTTGTTAAGTGTATATTAATGAACAAAAATGGCTTTTTCCCATATAAAATGCAATCTACAAAACAAAGTGTGCAAAAACTAAAGGGGTCAGAATCAGTAGTTCCACCTATGTTCTGCTCTGCGTTTCCCCTCGTCAGCAGAAAAAGCGGAAGCATTCTCAGTCTCTTTGATTTTGCAGACACTGTTTAACTTTAGTCAATAAAATTCAGCACTTCCTGCAGGGAGGTTTCATATTAAAAGTCTTCCAGTGGCTCAATGGACACCCCCTATCATTTCTAGTAAACTTTTAATGTGAAAATCTGCAGGAAGTTTTAGAGATAGTTAACAGAGCTTGAAAATTAGCAGAGTAGAAGAAACTGAAATTAATGAGCTTTCCATCTCTTTTCTCTATTGGTTTTAATCTGCCACTCTTCATTGTCCATGCTCTTTTCCTCTGCCTTTTTCTCATTCTCTTTCACCCCCTCTTTCCTTTGTAATACGACTGTAGTTGCATCTGTCTCATTGTGTAAAAACAGGTGATGTGATATCACATCCTATGATTTATTTACGCTCATCATTTATTCATTCCTTCCTCTCATTTTTTCCCCCTCATTTTCTTCCTTCATTTTCTTGGCACGGAGTGTTAGATTTAACAAAGGATCAAACAAACACATGCCCACACGCATGACTGCACCGGGCCTTCATTTTAAATTATCCCAGTGAAAAAAGACATTGGTTCTGGATCATCTTTCTGGTGCATTTGAAGTCTCGAGCTGCCACAGCTCCCCCAGCTGCAATGGGGAGGGAGGGGGTGGGGGGTATAACTGTCAAGGCATCATCAGACACTCCCAGACTTTATTTTACCTGGCTGTCATTACATTAGCCACACAGCTCTCCATCTCTGCGTGGAGATAGCTCTGCTTTCCACTCTCATTCTATAAACCCCTAATGCTCTCTTTCCTAATCTTCAGTTTTCACGATTGTTTTCACGGCCTGTTCAGAGCGAATGAGGTGACATTGGGGGGATTTTCTACAATTCCTGGGTTGCCGTGGTAGCCAGGCTCAGGTGGTGCTTGAGTAAATTGAAACAGCGTGAGGGATAAGCTGGAGAGTGTGTATGTATGTTCGTGCATGTGTGCGTGAGAAAGAGAGAGAGATAGAAAGAGGGAGACAGAGGCTGCTTGAGGATTTGCTGAATCTGCGCTGTAGCTGAGATAAGGGAGCGTAGCCCCACTCACAGTAGGTTACTGCAGTCTCCCAGCTAATATACTGCAGCGCTGTGTATGTGTGTTTGCATGTGTGTTCCACTGAGTGCGTGGGTGTAATCTATGTTTGTCCCGTTGCAGACTCCTGCCCCGTGTTGTGCAGCGGCAACGGCATATATGAGAAAGGAAGGTGTGTGTGTCTGGCCGGGTGGAAGGGGGCGGAGTGCAATGTCGAGGAAGGTCAGTGTATCGACCCCACCTGCTCCAACCATGGCTCCTGCATCCAGGGAATCTGCATATGCAGCCCCGCCTACAAAGGGGTTAACTGTGAACAAGGTAAGAGATTTTACAGACACACACTTCACACTGTCACATCTGCACTGCAAATACTTCTCCATCTATACACATTTAAAGGAAGGACGGCCATGTTTTATTTATATTTAAGGCGGCGCTGATCAATCTTTTTGTATTGATATTTGACAATGGATCAAATGACACATTTTTAAGAGATCCTTCGTGGTGATGGAGCCTCAGAGGATTATCCTCCCAGTCTGCATGTCCTGTCAGTTCCACAAAGCATTTCAAACAGTCCATATCGGTTTTGACACACTTGAAGTGGATTTTGAGTTATAGTATGTATATGCATATTTTGCATCATCATTCTGGTTTTCTTACCAGCTATTCCAACCAATTTGCAGCTGCAGTGGGCAGCTGTTTTCAGCCCGCTCAGCACCAAATGGCAGGCAGTTGCAGGCAAAAATTATCGAACATAGTGGAGCATATGATGGATAGAGAGCCAGAGATTTCCCTCAGTTGTCGGTGGAGACCACAGAGCCAAAATACAATGAAAATTGGACAAAATATTCATCAAATTGGCAGAAACACAAGTCATTTTGTGTACTGATGATGATACTGTGTGTGTATTGTGTAAATAAGCAAGTGTTTCCCATCCATTACCTACACCTTGCAACAGTCTCACAATAATCCATTCTTAACACTTCTCATAATAACTTAAAAGATCTCTGTTGCACTCTCTTAGTCCCGCTGTTGCTCTCTTATTCTGTCTAACCATGTCAGTGAGCTATCAAAACATCTATAAAGTTTATAACATCATCTCCAGGCTGTCAGAATTCAAAATACCATTGGTAGATACTGCCTTTGCTAAGTATGCAGTTCTTAGAAGGCAATCAGACCTGACTTTACTGTGCATTATAGCCAGCTTCTGCCATAAATCAATTGAATTCTTTGGGAAACATTGTGTTAAAGTGTGTTGTGTGTTTTGTTTGTTTAGCTGCCTCCCCAAGTGGCCAGTGATCAATAAATGTAGTGTTAATTCTAAATATTTTTAATCCAGCCTAATTAATTCAGTTTGCAACAATTGGATTCCAGTAAAACACTATAGGACCTGAGTGCCTGCCCCTGGATTCTCCATGCCAGTTTTGGACATAAGTTTTCCTCAGAATGTTTTGACACATAGGACCTGTTTGTCCCCTGGTATTTACATGTGATCTGATTTAAAGCGGTCAGCTCAGTTCACATTTGGCATTAGAATGCGTCTCCTGTGACCACTTCTGATCGAATCTCACGTCCCCGCTCTATATGCAAATAAACACGTACATCATTGCTGTTTGCAAAGACAAAATGCGTTGTTGTTTTTAGCCAGTCTGACGATGACAGACAGCTCCAGTGTGTGTGTGTGTGTGTGTGTGTGTGTGTGTGTGTGTGAGAGAGAGAGAGCGACAGCGGTACATTCAGGGCTGAGCAAATCAATGCAGAACTTTCAATTTTGTGTCATAGCAGCAGATGTTCATGGAGGATAAATGTCCATAAATCCACCTTGAAATTTTATTAAAAAACACATTCCTTACAACTTCAGATCTTACCTAAAAATCATTTCACATAAAATGTTGTGTGCAGTGGCAAAAGCAGACGATATTACATCTCTGGTTAAAGTACGGAAACGAACTGCCAATAGCCAATACAGCATGTCTTTTCATGCTGCAAATTCCCCAAAACATAAACAAATGTGGGCTGAAAAAAACAGAGCTCAGGCGGTGCACAGCTAATTCACTGACTGCAGGGCAACATTATCCTTTCTGTGAACATCACCCAAAGCATTGTGGGAAGACTGGTTACAAGAACTCAAAACATGTTCCATCCAGAGAGAAACAAGAAGACAAAAACCCAAAGGAATAACAATATCTATGAACATTGCTCATTTGAATTTAAAATATCAGTAAATATTGTGCCAGGAATAAAGCACAGAGTTTTCTGTCTCTTTGGAGAACACCTCTCTACAAAATAAGTTGGGGGCAGGACCGTCCATGGCCGAACTTTGTTTCTGAGTGATCATTGCGTCCACCAAGTAAGCTATGTTTTCATTGCAGGATTCCACAAAAACTACAGAGCAGATTTTCTTGAAACTTGGTGGAAGGGTTGGGTATGGGCCAAAAAAGAACATAAACTTTTGGAGTGGATTTGATCAAGGATTTTTTTCCCCTTTTCTTTAACATTGCCATATTAATTAGCCTTGGCGAAGCAATGCCCTTCTAGTTTTGCATGTAAATACAGCCAAAATCACAGCACAGCTCTTATCTTTAACTTATGGTGATTTTGGTGTTTATAAAATCAGGATATTAGCAGTACAGGGCAGGAGCTCTGAAATGGCTCAGAAATGACTGCTGGTTACCATGTCCAGTGTTGTTAATGGACAGTCGGTTGCTGTTTCATGCTTGTTGCCTGACGACACAAACAGAAAACCATGTACTAAAATTCTGCATATGTGAGCACAGAGAGTGGGAGTGAAGAAAACACATAAAGGGATGAAAACCGGCTGACACTAGGCAGAATGCAAATGTGACGCAATGACATCATGAATATGCTAATTGGAATATTGCAGTTACACAAAACTTTTCTTCCTAAATCTCACATTGGCCATTGTACAGCCAAAAACTAGGTTTTGATGTTGCCTGGTTTTCCATAAAAGGTGCCCTATGTAGACTTCACAACCACTTGTATGCCGAAATGACAGCCTTTTTACGCAACTTAACTATATTTAATGCTAATATTTGTATTGTATACAAATAAGTTATAAAATAAAATAACATAAAATATATGTTTTAATATAGTGAGTGCAAACTAAGCCAAATAGTCTACAATAGTTCAGGGTTCTTATGACGACAGCGCAAATGAATTGTTGTTGTCTTGATCAAATCATTTAACTGCATGTGTCAATTGTAAACCCAACTAATAAATTTGTGAAAACAAACACAGCCATGGTGTTTAAAACAATTACGATGTTACACTTGAACGTAACCTGACAGGACAGCTGTCCTGAAGACCGGCCTGCTGTCGTCTCCAGTATCCGGGCCTGTAGAGACCAAGTCAGGTGTTTGACCTTGAGCGGCAGGGCGGAGCGGAGCTGAGCTGAACCGAGCCCAACTGTGCTGAGCTTTGGCTCGGTGCTCAGGGCTGTAATTACACACACCAACACAGTGTAGTGCCGACCACCATGAGGCATCACACACACACACACACACACACAAATCAACCCATTTCACCCCTTATCAAAGCCTCAGTTCTAAGTGTCCTATGAAGTGTAATGTTGTGGAACAGATACAGGGATTGTAGCTAGGGTGGTTAACTCCTGGATGGGATGCAAAGAACACTGCTTTCATACTCGGTGAACTGATGATTATAATGAGACAGCACCCTCCCCGATCCCGCAACCCCACCCCCCAGCACCCACCCCACACCCTTTCGCAGCTGCCCACCCCACCCTTACACTCCTCACCTCTGACTCACTCTTGCCTCTCCTCTCGTCCTCCCTCTCTCTCTCTGCACAGTGGACTGCATAGACCCTCAGTGTGGCGGGCACGGCGTGTGTGTGCGTGGGGAGTGCGTGTGCTCAGCGGGCTGGGCAGGAGTGAGCTGTGATGACCAGCTGCCAGCCTGTCAGGAGCAGTGTTCGGGACATGGCACCTATCTCCCCGAGTCAGACACCTGCGCCTGCCAGCCCAACTGGACGGGACCCGACTGCTACACCGGTACGACATGTGGATTACTGTTCACACACACAGGAAAGGAAAACTGCAACTGCAACATCACTAGTGTGTCAGTGTTCTCATTGCACACTTTGGTCTTGCCAAATACTGTTTCCTGGGGATTTGATAGACAAGAGGGAGAAATATTGCATTCTCCTCCTGCTGTTCTTAATTTTGAGATTTCCCCTTATGGCTCTCCCCCACACTTCTCACCCCACCAAATAGCATTCACTTTACTGTGCATTTATACGATGACACACTTACTCATGCATACATACTTTCCCTTCAGCTAAATCAAGAAAAAAGGGTAAGGGAGGAAGAAAACATCTCAATTTTAATTTTGTTGTAATGTTACTCTGAGGAACATTCAGCCTGACATTTAAAAGCATTTCTGCGCAGCTGTTTACCTGTGCGCTAAATATTAATTAGTGTGTGGTTGTTAAATACAATTTTAAGACTCATGTTTGTCCTCAGTAAAATTATCCTTTTATAAAAGACAGCAATTCTACACAGATTTTTTCAGAAAACACTGAGCTGGCCGTTGTAGAAGTAAAGCATGCGCAGTGTAGTGTCTAAATTATAAAGTGTAGGACTCTGCAGCGCACAGTGAGAAAAGTGTCCTTGTCCTTGCAGGGTAAGCTGACAGGAGGGAAAATAGCCATTGTAAAACTGACATTTCTCTGTTCCCACCTCCCTAACTCCGTACTCGCTTTTGGAACAGATCTGCTTTTCCATGCACACTGATGATTTGAAGGCATTTGGCATTAGTTCCCTCTCTCAGGTGTATATGCATGCCATATTATAGTGATATATCCCATGATAATGATAGACCGTGGCTGAATATCTGAGATATGAGCGGTCTCTCTCTACCTGCCGGGCTTTTAATCAAAAGGACCCAGCAATTCTACATCCTGGTCTTGTTGAAGCATAGCTAAGCTAATGTAATTCTAATGGAGAGCTGAAAACTCTCCAACTTTAATCCACTTTTTCCTCCTTCTCCATGCTATGTATATTTAAATTGAAATAACTTTTTTACTGCAGCTGGATAAGTAGTCTTTGTGTGCCTCCAGCACTTTGCTCTCTTTACTGATGGATGAGGCTTTGCTTCTGCAGAGAGAGAGAGAGAGAGAGAGAGAGAGAGAGAGAGAGTATGTGTGTGTTAGATGGTGAGAGGTTTACAGGAAAAATAGACAAAATTAGAAGCAAAGACTTTTAAAGGGATGTTGCAAGTGAACGAGAGGGAAAGAGACACAGAGAAGAGAGATCTGACAGAGACAAAGATGGAGAGATGAAGAGAAGGAGGGTTATTAACATACTTGCCAAATCTGATCAAAATGTCAGAAAAGAATAATCGAGCTGAATTGGAGTCCCTGTAGTTTAAATCTGCAGTGCAAATACGAATCATTTGGATGTTATTATGAGTCTATTCACTCTTCTCCTCCTTCAGGGAGCTCAGCTATTAGAGGTGGGAAGATTGCGCATTGTGAGAAAGTACACTTTTTTCAAGTCTCTGAGGTTATCCTCTTCTATCACTTGTCTTTTTCTCTCACCTAAATCCAGGCTCACCCCCACTTCTGAATGTTAAACCTCTCTCCCTCCCTCCATGTCCCCTGTGCCTTTTTTACCTTTTCTTTTCTTATAACGCTCAATGCCTCCATTTGTTCCCCTCCCTCTCATTCTCTCTTCCTCTCACACTTTACACGCTATTTTCTCACGTATATACTCACCCACCTGTTCGGCAGAGTTGTGCCCGGTGCCGTGTGGCAGCCATGGTGTTTGTTCGGAGGGCCGGTGCCAGTGCGAGGAGGGCTGGGTTGGCGCCGCGTGCGACCAGAGAGCGTGCCACCCTCGCTGCGAAGAACACGGCCAGTGCCACGACGGGACCTGCATCTGCCAGCCTGGCTGGGAGGGAGAACACTGTAACATTGGTGAGTTGTGTGTTGATTCTTGTGGGGGTGTTTAATTATTCCTTGTGATATTTTGATTACTATGATTAATGGGATGAAAACGATTTGTCTGTTGTTGGAATAATTTTCCTTTACAACTTCTTTTTCTCACTCAACTCTCACTCTTCTCCACCCATAGTTACTCATGATTTGGATGTAGTGGTGAAAGGTAATTTGTCTTTATTTAGGATTTAAATTTCAAATTGTGCTTGCTCCAACATGCTCATGCTAATATGTGTGTGTGTGTGTGTGCGTGTGTGTATTTGTGTGTGTGTGTGTGTTTGTGTTTGTGTGTGTTTGTTTGTGTGCGCTTTTGGATTTGGGACACACCTTGTCAGACGGCTGTCCAGGGTTGTGCAGCGGGCATGGGCGCTGTACCCTGGAGCAGAGCGGCTGGCGTTGCGTCTGCCAGGCTGGATGGAGTGGGCCTGGATGCAGCGTTGTCATGGAAACTGACTGCAGTGATGGAACAGACAACGACGGAGGTGACATTGTAGCATCATCTATCATTTTCTATCTCTTTTTCTCTTTTCTTACCTCTTTCACTTCTGTTTCTCTGACAGATAGTCCATTCCTTTCAGTAACTTCTCCTCCTGTTCCTCCTGCCAAAAAACTCTGCCTCATTCCTCCTCCCCCTCATTCCTCTGTGTTGTCCAACTCCTGTAGAGTCCAGCTAGTCATTATTATGCTGAATATGTATTAGTGTGTGTGTGCATGTATGTGTGTGTGTGTGCATTCATGCAAGTGTCTATGTCGCTTTTTGCTCTTGTCACAGCTAAATGTCTAATATGCATACCACCTGCTAGGATAAAAAGCACTCAGAGAAATGTTCAAAAGTTTAAGCGCAGCAAACGGCACTGCTTCTTTGGTTATGAGGTGTGTGGTGACAGATGAGCGGTACAGTGTGTGTCACTCAGCCTAGTAGCTGCATCTTCTATCCTCATGTGTAGAGACAAGAAAGGAACGTTTCTGCAGTACAGGGGCTCTGCTCATTACAATCATCTCCTCACTCTTTCACTTGCCGCTACAGTTCTTCTCCAATATATAACAAATATAGTGCAATATTTCATTACATTCAACTGTGCCAATTTACTTCGAAACTCCATCAAATATCCATTATGGGCATGCCTGCTACGATGGTGCCGTAATCCATCATTGGAAACTAGGTAGTATCGTTATTGTTTGGGGGAAAATCTTCTTGCCTGCACTGTGTTTCCCCTGAATGCTCCTGCTGAAATTTCACAAAAAGCAACAAGATAGACCCACCTACCAGTCTTACTTAAATGGAGCGAGGCTTGCAAGCCAGTTCAGGCAGTCAGTTCAGGCAGTCAACTCGCACTGCGCTGCTCTATTCATGTGACATGCCTCACTCCCTGCAGTCCTCTAACATACACGCCCTTCCAAATTGGTGCTCTATTTAATCTGCAAAGATTTCCCATCGCTCCCTTTGCTAGTCAGTGTCTCTGCTGCCCCACATCAGTATTGCTGCCATGTCGATTCACTCCCAGTTCTTGACGGAACTGACGTAGCTACGTCACGAGACCTAACTTGAACAAAGTGAATGTTTCCAAATGTCCATGGCTAAGTGACTGTTACATGCTAAGCTAAATGTTACCAGTTAATCCTGTTAGGTTACTCATTAACCCTGTTGCACAGCCTATTCCCCTCACTGCCATAGTAAGTGCACATTTCATATTAATTACTCACCTCACACATTTAATTAAACAGAAGGAAGTGCACCAAGTTACTGAAATCTGTGGTGAATTGTACCAAACCTTGTGCAAACTGCACCCCTGTGCGGCTCCCCCGTGTCATTAGGATATGAATGCAACTATTTCAATTTGTGCATGTTTGTGCAGAGTAATTAAAATATTCAGCTTGAACCAGTTTTGGGAAATGAACTTTTAAGCATGGGCCTATAATATCAGCACCCTATTGATGCCCAAATGACTGCAGAAGTGGTCTCATTTGTCTTTACATTGTTTGCCCCAGTTTGTGTTGCTTTTGCTGAAATCTCAGCAAGTTAACACACGAGGAGTCGAACATGAACAACCTGTCTATAACAATTCTAACAGCGTTTTAAATGTTTCCTCCGCTGACACACAAAATGTAATTTGTGTACTCCTGGAAGCTCAACCAACAGCACTGCTGCTAAAAAAAAGTCCTAAGGGAAACATATGGTGCATGTGTCGTTCCACAACAGTGCAGGTAGTCTCTCAAAACGTGAATTACAGACCCTTCCTCTGGATTATAACCTCAGAGCCATGTCGTAAAAAATGTCTTGTGGACTATAAAATAGTGGCTGAGGATAGGGACTGTCTGAGTCATAGCAGGACCGTAGCCTGCCAACATTGTAGGCACTAATGATTTCTGTTTTGTATCAATAGATTATTTTCTGTTTCAGTGTTCTGATTACATTCTGTTGCTATTTTGTCTTTAATCTGTGGCGTTTAGAATGATGAAAATGAATATTCTGAATAATAATAGCAGTAAAAGGATTGTGACACTTTTTTTTTTTAAACACTTTATTTGTAGTCTTTCAATTATCATACAAAACAAGGATTGTGACACTTTGCGTGCAATACATTTGCACAATGTATATGAGTCTTATTTACTGTTATTGTCACACCTTAAAGAAATTAAACCGTCTCTCATTGTGCCTTCTTTTTAAAAGAACGTTACACATTTATTCACAAATTGTGTATTACTTATCCTCAGCCTGTGAGAACAGTTGTATACTCTCAGTTGCTTTAAATCTCAACATATTCATTGCTATTTTCAAATAACATCCAATAAAAGAGAAGTGTGTTTATATATAAATAGCAATATCATTGGTCTAACATTAAAATGAGACCTTTCTGTATGTGTCAGACATTAGAAATATATCATATATACAAAATGTATACAATGTAAAGTATGTGAACATCAAAAATTGTTTAAATAATATAAAGCAGAACAATTAAATATTAAAAAGCATCATATTTGAAGACAGCTATAGGGATGAACCCACATTTACACTTCTACCAGCACATTCATCACATGACTTCAATCTTCATTTCCATGAATAATTTAAAATGAAAATAAATACTCTTACAGTCAAGGACCGTTCCTTAATCAGAGTGACTCAGGAGGCAGAGCTTGTCGCCCCTAAGCAGAGTCAGTGGTTCCATTCCATGTGCTAACGTGCCCTTGGGCAAGACACTGAACCCTAAATTGCCCTTGACAGCTGTGCAGGCAGTGTGTGTGTGTGATCAAGACCACGCTGCACATTAATGCACTGAATGTGTGTGTGAATGGGTGAATGGCAAAAAGTGTATTGTAAAGCACCTTGTCATCAAGACAGAAATGCTTCTATATAAATACAAAGCATTTGCTATTTAATCCAATCAATGAACTTCAGTCTACTGATCTTCCAAAACACTGCAACTGAAAGCAGGCATTACAAACTGTAGCTGTATAATTTAAAGGTATATTTTCACAGAAATACCCATGATTGCACACGCTGAGAGATGGATGAGAATATTGATACTATTCCTTCAGAATAAGATGCATTAACACCACGGTTTCTTGTCACCACTGTTGTGTTGAAGTCACTGCCCATGTAAGTCCTCATTGTTGTAGAGTTGCTGCGGTTTTTTTGACCTTTGGACAAAGCTGAACTGTGTCTTTTTGCTAAGCTAAGGTACCTGACTGCTGGCTGTAGCCTTTACACTGAATGGACAGATATGAGAGATCTATCAATCTTCTCATCTAGCTCTGCGCATGAGAGCAAAGAATCGTATTTTCCAAAATGTCAAATTATTCCCGGAGAAAGCATCGAAGGTCTAACAGAAAGGTGCTGTTGAGTTTTACTGTGGTAGTTCCGTTTTTGGAAGTAAAGATATCTGTGCTGCTTTTGATATGGCCACCTCTCATGAGTCATCCACTATTAAAATGATAGGTTGAGGTAGAGGTTGTAGAGGTTGCAGCGGTCGAGGTGGTGAGTGGGTGGATGGAGGAACTGGCATAATATATATAACATGTAAAAAGGAAAGGGAAAGAATATGCATACTTTATGGCATTACAGTATGTGGTATTATAATTCAGTATGAATATTTATGAACTTCCCCATGTGTTTGTACTGTAGGTAACAAATTGTTCAGTTTAGGTGTGATTATGCTACAGAGCAACTCAGGAACAAAGCCTCATGGAGACAGTTTACACTCCTCTTATCTTTCTATCCTTCCACCTCTGTGCACAGCTTCTCAGAAACCATCATTTTCTGCAACACAATTCAGCATCATCCTCCTTAATTGGCAGATAGACTGTAGGCTCTCATAGCCTTCTCGCGGAGCAATCTTTTTTTCTCTGAAGATAGACAGAGATGGAAAGATGCTATCACAAATAATCAGAGAATAAAGAGGAACTTTGAAGAGAGAGTTTCAATTATACTGCCTGAATGGGAGAGAAAAGCGGGTGTATTGTTCGTCCTCTTTGGAAAAAAAAACGACATTAATTCCGCACACTAGGCAGTGAAATCACATGCACATTCATATTTATATGAATTACATAGTTCCAAAATATACCTCTCCACTGTGCTTCTCTGTGTGTAATCTTTAACAGCCATGTGTGCCTAATAGGCTACATGTTGTGTTGTTTTTTTACTAGAATGATATTTTTAATCCAAGTGCTTTCAGGTTGAAGTAGGAAATCTTATGGAAATCAACCATTGTACCATTCTTCCTCTGCAGGTTATTATAGAATATTGTTGGCCTTTAGTTCTCTGCACTGTGGTCAGATCCATTTAAATGTCAGCAGTGTTTCCTGCCTTTTCAGAAACAGGCTTGAAATAGGAAACACAAATGCCAGCCTGCATGGCTCCTATTACCTTTTGCTGCTTTGGTTGTGTATCCAAGACTCATTGTTTACACTAGACTTTTATGGATTGCATTCAAATAATGCCAGTAATTCAAGACTGATTTATAGCAATAGAAGCTATGATTGTACACTGATAGTCCCTAATGAATCTCATTTGATTGATACTCGTGATAATGATGATACATGTGCAGTTCATTGATGTAGATTAGATCACTTTAGTAGAGTTTTTCGTCTGCCAGCAGCACAGTTGTTGTTAATGTCTTGCCTTTATTAACTAAATTCAAGCTTTCCATAAACAATTCATCATATGGTATTGTGTCTAAATGGGCTTTTTATTTCCCTGCCCATTTCAGATGGCCTGGTGGACTGCGTAGACCCCGACTGCTGCGAGCAGCTGAGCTGCGGCTCTGACCCCCTGTGTCACGGCTCCGCCGACCCCTTGGCCCTGTTGCAGCAGAGCCCGCTGACCCCCGTGACACCCCCATCACCCACCAACACACACACACACAGCTTCTACCGCCACATACGCTTCCTTCTTGGCAAGGCAGCTACACACACTCTCCCTGGAGACGTGCCCTTTGATACCAGGTATGCATATTGTTTACTTTTGGTGTCTGAATACCTTCAAGTATTTGTTTTGTGTGTCTGTATCCTTGAGGTGTCCTCAGTTGTGCCAGTGCACTGTGTGTTTAAGTAGTGGATAATTAGGCATTTGTATTAATGCTTTTAGTCGTTTATCGCCTGTTCGTTCCTTAATGAGAGTGTGTTTTCGTGTGAATGGGGCTTTCCCCATTTTCACATGCCTTTGCCCACATCTTCGTGATCTGTGTTTCCCTGGAGATTAGCAGGCACTCAGCACTGTATTCTCCTCCTGTTTCGGTGTCAGGCTGAAACTGTGGGCTACAACTGAGTATTTGTTTGTTACGTATTAATGCTTAATGTGTCATTCAGTTATACCAGTCGTAAAGGTGTCACCATAAATTTTTCATAGGCCTCTCACTGCCTTCTCAACAGAGGAAATACATCTTGCTGGCACGATGATGACCTAGAAAGTTCAGTAAGGAAAACAAGAACTGATGCCTTAGTGAAAAAAATTACAAAGTGCAATTTTTTTCTCCCTGGCTCACTTGTGGAATAAACAAATAAATTAATTATGTGGCCATTTTTTCCGAGGTGAAATCGATGGCAGCTTTCAGGATAGAAGTAACAAACGGGGCAACACAACCACCTGGAGAATCTTCACTATCCTTCATTTACCCCTCCTCTAGAGTAACAGAGAGGCTCCAACGGAGAACTTGTGTACATGTGTGTGTGTGTGTGTGTGTGTGTGTGTGTGTGCACGTGTGCACGTGTCTAAATCGCTCTTTATTTGGCCAGCACAGCTATTCCAGGTTTAGCAAGGAGTTTCACAGTATATGCACAAAATCAAGATGAATATTTCAAAATAGCGAAGATATGACTGATAGTTTAAGGGCTATGTAAAAAACAACACAGGCCTTTTTGCTGCAGGTATATGTCACTGTAATATAAACATGATGTGGAAGTTTTGTTTTTAATATGACAGGTTGTTGAAAGGTTTTACTGTGGGTGAAGCTATATTTATGGTCCTTGTATCCTGGCAATCTCTGGCAGATTTTTCTGTTCTAAAGAAAGGAAGTGTACTAAGCCGAATAAATGCAGTTGCTTTTTCTTCATGCACAAGGTTGTTTTGCGAACACATCACAATATTCCTTTCTCTTCAAACAATGATTATTTTCTCTATCATTGTAAAGCTGTCATCTCGCCCTCTCTGCGTGCTTCTCTTCCTCTCATGCCCTCTCGCTTCTTTCTGTCTGTGTTTTGCCAGTCGGGTAGCGGTGATCCGGGGTAGCATCGTGTTGCAGGATGGCTCTCCTCTGGTTGGTGTCAACATCACCTTCCCTCAGCATCCAGAGTATGGTTACACTATTAGTCGACAGGACGGAAGGTACAGACACAAACACAAACACAATTTTGTCTGTTTTTCTTGTCCTTCTCCAGTCTTACTCTCTTTTACTCTCACTTTATTCTATAGTTTTGACTTGGTCACCTTGGGCGCAATGTCTTTGACGCTGATGTTCCAGCGCCCACCCTTCCTCCCACAAACACGCACAATCTGGACACCAAACAACAACTTTCTTGTACTGGATCAGGTGACCATGTCCAGGGAGGAGGCTCAACCTCCTAAGTGTGACATCAGGAGTGTTTTGAGTCCCTACCCGCTGGTCCTGCCCTACCCTCTTCCCAGATACACCAGAGCCTGTGCCGAGAAGGGGCCAGCAGTACCTGAGCTACAGGTACTGTCCACTTTATTCATCTTAACACAGCTCTGCTGGACACTTTAGTTTAAATTCTCCACAAGAGAGGGTGAAAACACTTCACCAGCTAGTAATTCTAAGTATTTTGTAAATACTTGCCTTGTAGGTTGTTTTTTTCTTCTTTCTTTTCACCCTCCTCCATTGTTTATTGTATTCTCCATGCAAAAACACAGGGGGTTCCAATACATACATTTCATCTGCAACGAAAAAAGGCAAACGCCATAGTACCGGCAGTTCACGTTAATCTGCAATCTGTACGGACAATCACATGCAAAAAAAACACCTATGTTTATCACATCTTTAGATGACGTGATGTCACTGTTTCACTGTTTTGTTAGACCAAAACATGACACTAGATGTCACTTCGAGGAAGATTTGATGGACATTCTATAGATTTAAAGCTACAATACACGTACAAGTTCTGTAAATCCCATCTCTCATCTTTCCTTCTCTGTTACGCTCCCTTCAATCCTCCAACTACATCCTTGTCATGTTCGCTATCTCATCTAATCGGGTGTCGCAAGCCTGCTAGCCTGTTAGTCAGCCATCGCGACATCTTACAGTGGCTAACCCTCGCTTGAAGACTTGGCTTGAGAGAAGCTTTAGACCAGAAGCATGCTAACATATGCCCTGACATATACCCTTAGCCTCCTCTCATTGGTTAGGTTTGGTCAGGCTGTTAAAGTCTGGGTCATAGAAGCCTTTGTCAGCACCTCCACATGAAGATCCGTTTTGGAGCATTGCAAAGTTCAACTGAAAAATATTAGTAAAAAGATTGATCATCAAAATAATAATTATTTGGAGTCCTTGATGGAAAATTGGTCAGAAACCAAAGTGCTGGACAAATAAAAGCCTGAACATGGCTAATAACGTGTATGAACTGTGACAACACACTCTTTAATGTGTACACATGTCAGTCAGTAAGAGTGATGGTCAGACTCCTTTTGTAACAGCTCAGCAACAAACCAACCTTCTCTCATGGGACTTTGCAAATTTATTTGCATCTAATATGTACGGAGCTAAAAGAAAATGAGTAAAATGCAAATTTGGGCTCCATTCATGTACAACTCCACCACAAAAACAAATTAGGTGTCTCAAAGTCAGGTCTGGAGGTCAGACTGGTGATTATATATTTATTTATTTTAATGTGCCTCCAAGGGTTTTTTTACAGTGTCCACCTTGATCTTATTTCAACTCCACCTTAAATTCTCGGCACACGGAAAGCTGTTTTCTTGTTACCTGGATACATGATGGACTGCAGAAAATGTCACATCCAATATGTGATAATGTCCACATTGTCCTTTTGTGGCAGAAGGTAGTAATAGCTTTTATTTGTTCGCATTATTCATTTCCACAACACGTCCTCTGCACTGCAAAGTTCCGCCGCGTTTTATGAAATCACATGATTGGAATGAACAGATCGTTACAATGAAGGAACATTTCATCCTCATGACAAATAACACCTTTGTCCCGAGAGGCAGCGAGCTCACAGACGAAAATGAAAAGTACTCAGTGTTCACAGTGAGCTCAGCGACACCCACTGCGCTCAACTGCGTTAATAAACCTTAATTAGCCTTTAGACTTCAGATGAAAATGTCTCATCGTCTAATAGAAAATTTGATTCTAGGTGATCATTGACTGAAAATCAAATCAGATGTTATCTATCAAAAATATTATAGAGAGTGAATTAATGTTTCCTCCAGTGGATTATTAATCATTTATTAATGAATGAGGTATTTTATTTGCAAGTGTGTATAGTATATAATGTATGAACATTTTCTCACCTTCTGAATTTATTGAAGTTATTGATTTGAAAATGGTGACAGCTAATGATTGCTAATGATCTGTTACTTAATAGGTACATTTATTTGTCTATAAAATATAAGAAAATAGTTATTTGCCTGCTCTGATTTCCCTTAGCCCAAAGATGATTGATTCTTATTGTTTTTATATTTATGTTATATCAAAACACAAAATATTCAACAAACATACATCAGACAAAAAAATGCTCTCAGTACCTGTCTTGAGTCCCTCTTTAAAATGTCTGTGCAAGCTATATCTTCCTGTGCCTGTCAATAGCACTTCTCGTGTCAGGATTATTGTGTTAACAAATGCAAAGCAATAATGAAACACCTTTCTTACTTGTTGTGTGTCTTTAATTATTCTCTCCTTTGTTTTTCATTCCACTCTACATCTCGTTCTCCCCAGGCTGTGCTGGAAGAAGTTTCAATTCCTGGAGGCTTTGTGAAGCTCAACTATTTGAGCTCCCGTGCTGCAGGCTACCTCTCTCTGCTGCGAATCCTCCTCACACCCCCTTCCCCGTCGTCCCCCGTCTCCCCACTGGGAGGTCTGTCCAAGGTGCACGTCCGTGCATCCGTCCAGGGAAGGTTGTACCAGCGGTGGTATCCTGCAGGGCCAGGCCTGGTCCACAGACTGGTGTGGAACAAGACGGATGTTTACGGCCAGGAGGTCTGGGGCCTCACTCATGCGACCGGTATGTAGGACATGAAATGCAATGGGTCCATAGTTCAACTTTTACTAAGGACAGCCCTACATCACATATAACCATTATACCATACAACCTTTTCTAGTTTCTATACCATGAAAATCATCTCCTTGCTATAGATTCTTAGTTGATGCACAATCCTGGGATGAGTATCATTTTTAACATCTAACTATTCTACAACAAAACAAATACTACTTCCCAAAATACATAACTATTCAAACTTATTTTTTCAATGGAAGTATGGACATTTGCAGCTCTGCTTCCAGATGTGAAATTCCTGACTGAATAAATAACTACCACTTCTCAGGCCTTTTGAAATAAATTGGTTTTATTCAGCTGAGTTACCGTCAACAATCAAATCCAGCAAGAAAAATTGTATTGTTCTCTATAGTAACTCTCAGGCTTTTGAGTGACTGGTTTGCACAAAAGCCCTGATTGTTACTCTGTGTGTCATGGTTGACCCTTCAGTAGCTAATCAACTGATTGTTAATGGAAAGTCTCCCACTGAGAAAACATTGGAGATTGTCTTATAAAAAAAAGATTATTGCAAATAGTAGGGTTTAGATTTTTAAATAGTGGTTTCACAACTGCAAATTTAACAGAATACTCACTCTATTTAAAATATTCTTGAATCTGTAAATTAAAAATGAAGCGGAGCGCCTTCATGAGACCTTTAGGACTGACAGTAGAGAAGACTACAGGTGTGTTGACGGCAGGATGCATGGATCTAGAGGTATACTGTGAAGGCAGTAAATATCCCATCTGCAGTGTCAGGGAGATGCTGTAGAATGTCTAGACAGTTTTGACAGAACTGATTCTGTGGAGACAAGTCTGTGCATATACTCAAAACAAATGTTTGCATTGAAGGTTTTCATGAATGCAGCCCATAAGACACACTGGATGTACAACTGTAACCTGTCATTGCGCTTTCTGATACATTACGGCAAAAACGGTCAATGTAAAGATGCTATAAAGGCTTTGACTCTTGAACTGTCTGTCTGTAATTTGAGAGGTACTGTACTCCACTATCTGTGTGCACCACTTTTCTGTGTGGAAGGTTGTAGACAAAGACAGCGCTGCGACAGAGAGCTTTCCAATAAGCAGTGGGATAAAGCAGGCCTACCAGAAGCTTTGTCCACTCGAGTGTATGGTCTCGTACACAGATTGCATCTCTCCTTGTCTAGCCCTCCTGCTGATCCATACCCTCCTCTCCTTATCTGCCACAGCAGCATTTCATCTGCCCAGCAGTTCTCTCACATTTGCTCAACTCAAATGATCCTGTTTTCTTATTTACCCTGCTTTTCCAAATCGCCTCCCTCCATGCCCTCCTTTTCCTCATCTCCTGTCCTCCTCTACCCTCGTGATGTTTTTCCTATGTTTCTGTCCTCTCCCAAACTCTCTTTTTTCTTCTCCTCCTTGCTTGTTATTTCCTCTTTTCGCTCTGATCTCCCGATGTTACCTCTCCCCCCTTGTCTTCCTCTGCCCTTCATTTTTCTCTCTTCTCTACCCATTTCTCCCCCGATCCTTCCCCTTTATTGTACTCTGTTCTTTGTTGGCACAATGACAAAGACGTGCACACACACACGCACGCGCTCACACACCATTGCGTGTATGCGCTTACACACACCCTGTGTGTGCTCGCACATAGTCGGAGAAAGGGAGATCATGCTCTGTTTGCTGGGGTGAACACATTGCCTGAGGCTTCAGCAGAGGGGAATGAAAGCTTTCACCTGCAAGATATTGAGTGTGCATTTATGTTCTATGGCGTGCACGCTTATTGTTTGTGAGACAGTGTGTATACGTGTGCTGATGGTGTGTGACATTTCTTGTAATATAGCTACAGCAATATTCGGTTGTGAAGCTGTTCTCCAAACACTGACACTTTCCCTTTGAGATTGCTTTGCCCGTTTTGTCCTGGAAAAGCCTTGTTCCTCAAATAAAGTCGGGTTTATTGTAGAATTTAAAAAAAACAGGACAATGTCCCTATTGACGGCAATTTATTTATGGCTGGTTTTGATGCATTTTCATAAGGATGGATTGGTTTCCAGGTCATGAAACACGCTTTTCAAGGGGATGTGTGGTGTGAATAGAAGGGTCACAAACTACACAATATGTCTCATTTTGGGACCTATGCTTTTATTGTAGAAAAGTCCTTTTTGTGTCTATCTAAGCATTTCTTTTATATAAATTGTTACTAAGTGGCTTTCATTTCTATTTTCTGTTCTTCAAAAACACCAGATCACAAGCTTATCAGAGCTTCAGACACATAAAATAGAAACAAATTAGCCTTTTTAATGAACTTAAAAGCAAGTTACTGGACTAAGAACTTTTGTCCAACACTGTAAGACTTCTTTTTCTCCTTTAGAATCCCTAGTGTCCCAAATTACCCATTATTCTCCCTCCCCAATCACCTTATCGATTGTACCCATTGAGTAGGAGATTTAAGTTGGCCCTGTGTGCCTGCTGAGAGTTTCTCTCCACGTTAAAGGGAATCTCCCGAGTTTGTGCATAATGCGAGCGCCCCTACTTATGCATTCCACTGTCTCCACTGTTCTTTATGCTGACTTTGCTACCCAGTTCCCCTTGAGTGCCCATCAATTCAGAGGCAATGCTGGTTTACAACGAAGCGAGTTAGCGAGATCATTGTCAACAGTGACTGACAGCGACAACTTTTTTTCTACAGCTCCCTTGTCAGACTTGTCAAGCTCCTCTTCCTGTACAGTATATCAATATCTTCATTCAAGATATGTGGCATCATTTTAAAATGTGCCTAAATTAACTGTATTGAACTCGTACAGCAGCATGTTCAGAAGATTTTTTGTATTTCATACAAGTAACCTGAAAATAGATATGGGCTAAATATTAAAAAGTATCTCTCTTACTTTATTGACAAGTTGCTTTTACTGAAAGCATCGCCCACTAGGCACCAGTCTAAAAATGTGCATATGATATGATTTTCTTTTTACAAAAAGGTGTGTTCAAATCAATATTTTTATACAAATAAATGATCAAACCGAAGAGGCCGTGCAAAGTGATGAGCCCACAAAGGGATATCACCAAACTGCAGTTCTTCCCAAGCATTGCTTTTCTTTCAGCTCATTGTTTGGGTTTTTTCAGCCCACAAACGCTCATCAAAGTTGCTTCTGAACACAGCAGGCAGCTCTCTTCAGACATAAAGCTCAGATAAACCCACTGCAACACATCTCACAGCACAACACAGCCGACAATGTTAGCGTCATAGTTGTGAATATAGCATTTAACTGCTGAACAGCAAGATATCTTGTAACCAAAACAACAGTGTTTGTTGGATGTGTAAATAGGCTGCTATTTGATAATGAGATGACTGTAACAACTTCATGAGGTGATAATATGTCAGTTTGACCTTTACAAGTCTGTCCTCTGCCTCCAGTTTTATATAATATAGTAAGATTGTAAAAGTACTTTCACCAAAAATGTCACCAAAGTTTAAGCACAGAAGTTTCATTAGCAAATTATGAATTAAATATGTGTTATATTTATTTCAGATGAAAATAATATATTTAGAATTATTACAGTTTAATGTTGTGGCTAGTGAGTAGTTTCATCTATATAATGAGATGTTCCGATAGAAATTTTCCCTCCCAGAACTGTTTTGATCGAACACCAGAAACCATAAAAACGTATATAACACAATTTAACATCTGTTTGCTACTAACCCTGTATGGAAGTGATCATTGTTGTGTGGCCTGGCTCAGGCTATACCCTTTGGAAAACAAATACATACAGATAGTTAATGCTATAGAGTTTCTCTGATGATCTAATTTGAGTGTTATAACTGAAAAAAAACAAAAATAAGTAATACATAACAATTATTTCATTTAAATAGCAGAAGTTGTTTTCAGGTAAAGCAAATTGCCATTTTCATTAGTATTGTAGGCACTCCCAATGCTGTTATCAGAACATCTCTACTATAATGTGTCATAGAGTTACTTATATGCTTTTGATATATGCAGCCACAGTAGTCAAATGAACATGGAGTAAAAATAGAAAGTTGAAAATACTCTAACTCATTAATTAGTAACAACATTTCAGTAACATTTCAGTATTTCAGTAAATGTTCCCGCCACCTCTGAGAAAAGCCTGTATGTGTGTTTGTGTCTTGTAGAAGAACATGACACCAAGTGTCATTGGAGTGTTTACATGTTTACGGCCCCTATGGCTTTGTCACCTGCTGCCTTTAAACGTTTTCAAGTCTGAAGTGGTAAATTACTGTCGAAACATTTAATCCTGCCAAGCCAAGCCTAAAAAAAAAAAAGCTGTTGATAGTTGTTAGCTGTAGTAGGATGCTGCACAGCGTATCATTACGACTAAGAGGCCAAGCAGCTAATTCTAGGGCTCCTTCATGAAGATGGGCTCCTCCTGATTATGCCTCCTCTTCTCACTGATCTCTCTCAAACACACACACTGATGAGATTTCACCACAGGCCTTTCATCTGTTTCACTACTCAATACAATATAGTTTTGAGAGCAATGGCTGTTTGTGTGTGAGTGTGTGAAGTCTTGCTGTTAGTGATAGTCATTATGTTGGACATACCATTGTAGGTTTAAACCCTCCTGTGATTCTGTGTTTCAGTGTCTGTCGGCTATGAGTACGAGTCATGTCCTGGTGTCATCCAGTGGGAGAGGAGGACGGCTCTGATGCAAGGCTTTGAACTGGTCCCCTCAAACCTGGGAGGCTGGTCCCTGGACAAACACCACACCCTCAACATACGCAGTGGTGAGTACTTGACTGTGGGTAGTCGACCCATCAGGATCCAACGGGCAGGGTTCGAAGTAAATATTTAAATGATATTTGGGTACGATACGGTGCATGTCTGTAATCAGGGAAAATAAGCAATAACCATGCATGTGAGGAGCACACCCTTTCTCACATTTATATTTTATATAAATACTTAAAATGTTGATACATCTCTTCCCATTTAAACACTGTGTTTTCCATGAATGTTGTAAATATCTGAAAAAATCTGTTGCACGCACCATCTGTCTGTCCTGCGAGAGAGATCCTTCACTTGACTCTCTGAGGTTTCTGTGTTTTCTGTTTCCCTGCTAAGAGAGTTTTTTAGTTGTTTTTTCTTCACTTTCGTCCAGAGGTAAGGTCAGAGGATGTTGCACCTTGTTAAGCCCTGTGAGGCAAATGGTTATTTGTGAATATGGGCTGTACAAATACAATTTGATTTGTTTTTTTTGACAAGCTCAGTGCAGCTTACATTCACTGCGTCGGGTTAGGTCACTAAAAACAGAATGCCTGTCGGGTTTGAGTTGGGCATGGTTACTTTTATCTTGGGGTGGGATAGTTCGTACAGAAAAATGCGACCAGAGCTGCACTCTAGTGAGTCCAAACACGAGTAATACTTGACCTTAGTTTCAAATTAAAATCAACTGAAGTGAACTGGACCCAACTGAATAAACTGATACACTGAAATCTTGCTTCATTTGAGTCAATCACATACAGTGTAACCTGGACATATCATCAGAAGGCTGCCACATTAAATATGTTTTTCTTTTAAGAGAAGTGCAAAACATTATATAACAAAAATAGTAAAAGATTTTTCACTGAAGTCCTTGTTGTAAATACAGCAAAGCCTGTAGCAAGGCTGCATCGACAAACCGACTCAATAAATACCATTTATTCCATTAAAGCTCCTGAAATATTTACATAATATTAAAGGTTTACTTCACAGGATTATACGAGCACAGTATAGACTCATATAAGAGTAATCGTATGAGCCCCTAACAGTGTGTGGAGGTGTATTTCTCTGCAGACACCCTTCCCTTTTCCTGTATTTTCTTATTGTCCCCATATTTTCCTGTATGCGGGACATTTCTGGGCTGCTAATTTTGGGCAGTGTTTGTTTAGCCCTCAGCCAATAAAAAACCAGTGAACAGGATACATCCCTGTGTCTGTCTCTCACCTCAGCTCTGTCTGTGGCATGTTCAAAGAGCTGCAGGTCTGCACGTCTCTTTGACAGTGGGCAGGGCTGAGCTACACACACACACATGCAGAGCAGAGAGGTCACGGTGGACATGAAGAAATACGGACTTTAGCAATCACACAAAATCCATCAATGCAGCCCCCTGAGTTGTGCAGAAGTGTGGGTGCTATTAGATCAGATAATTACATTCAGATAATTACATTGTAGTAACGTGTTTTGTTGTTCATCTTAAGGAAGAGGAAACATAACATTTCTAGCAACTGAGAAATCCAGTATACCTTTAAATATTCCTTATGAAATATACAATAAAAATACTCTGTCAGTTGTTCTGAAGTGAGATTTAACAGTCAAATTTGTTTTGACACTAGCCAAACAGTCCAACAGCTGTCATCACATTTAGATTCAAACATTGCCAAACACTGGCTGGTGCAGAGAAGTGAGTGACATCACCTTCCCACCCACTTAAAAATCAGTGAGAGCAGCTCAGACAACAGAAAAAAATAGAATAAAATCCGTTATGTGAAATAATCTGAACTGTTCTTTGGCGGAAAATTGTGTGTTCATGTAGGATCCCATCAGTCACAGTAATAACTGCCTTTAAGGTATGTATTGCTTTCCTCTTTCTCCAAAGGAATTCTTCACAAGGGAAATGGGGAGAACGTCTTCCTCTCCCAGCAGCCCCCTGTAATCAGCACCGTGATGGGGAACGGTTTCTACCGAAGCGTCCCCTGTGGGCCGAGCTGCAGCGGTACCGCCCGGGACATGATGCTGTTTGCCCCCGTGGCACTAGCCAGCGGCCCAGATGGCTCCCTCTATGTTGGGGACTTCAACTTTGTCCGCAGGGTCCACCCAGATGGATACACCAGAACCATACTTGAACTCAAGTGAGAGTCATGATCTTGTTGTCTATGCATGTGATAAGACGAGTGTGATCTTGGTAAGGATCTCCCACAGTGGGAAGAAGTGGGATTGTGAGCATTGGATTGACTTGAGTACAATTAAACAAAATTGGCGAAGCTGATATGGGCTCTTGTGGCATTAGCGCCGCTTGGCATCAACAGTTTTGATCTTTTTGATCTCAACAGAATAAACTCTGAAGTTTGTCTCTGCACAAAAAAGCCGAGTGTGAGAGGTTCAAACATCACATCTAATCTACCTCTTTAGGATGTGAGAGAAGCTGAAAGTCTTTGCTGTGAAACAAAGATATATTTTTTTCCTATGGATTAAGATGATGATATCTCCTTTTGCGCTGCAGGCACTACGTTCTCTATTTCTGTACTTTCTCGGGTGTGGAATCTCGATGGGATTGCGCAGCCATTTGTCCTGTAATGTGTTCTTCTTATGTAACTTTACTCTCTCATTCTCTACTATTATCTTATCTCTCACTAATATTCCTGGTTCAGATGGAGGTTTCACAGTGTCTGTATTTGATATGTCCCTGTCCTCTGGGAGGAAATGCTAAATAGCTTCCTATTTGGGTTGATATTTAATGTGAAACCTTACAGTCGTCTAACTCAACTTTAATCTCACTTTATGAGGAGAGAATTGACTTATTGTATCCTATGAAATTCTAAGTGACTCTAGCATCGTAAATGATTGTTTTTACTTTCTCTTTTCTCTTTTTAAAAACGCTCCTCCATGGCTTGTTATCAGGAACCGGGACACCAGGCACAGGTGAGAACTGGCGATTAACACCTTCTTGTATGCATCTTGACAGAAAACGCATCTCTACAAAGAATGTGTCAAGCCAAAACACGGGACCTGTTGCAAAACGTCTCGCAGCATTTTATTTTGGTTTGTTTGCTGCAAATTGCATTGACCTGATGTCCCCTCTGCCAACACACACACACACGCAACACTTCATAAACTCAGGTTCTAGTCAGATCTATCAAATCCACATTTAAATTTCACTAGGCGATATTAAATTGGAAATCGGCCAAAATGTCAAGGATTTCCTGTTTTAGAGGATTATCGGGACTCTGTTTGGTGCATGCACTTTCTGAGCTGGTCTAAAAGCCTGAGGCCTGGTATGGCCTCGACATTGTCCCCAGCCCTGGACGGTTAGTGTGAGCTCTATACACCATGTTAGACAGAGGATTAGACAGATGTTGTAGGGTTTGTGTCTGTCTGTGTGTATATGTCTGTCTGTACATGTCTGTGCTCCTGTCTGCGCGTGGGCTGCTATCAGGGGTTATATCGAGCCGATTGCGTGTATGTGTGTCAGAGAGACTGAGAGGATTTTTATCTGATTTGAAAAGAGGTTTTTCAAGATGCCATATCTCTGGCATGCCAAAGTTCTCAACCATGCAAAAGGGATAATCTGGCTGAGTGTTCATGGCTGTACAACTGTATAACTGGCTGTGTACATATACTGTACATCTGTACAAATGTTTAAGTGGCTGTGAAGCACAAACTATGGTGAATGCCTCCCATAAATATTGAATACAATTGATAAAAAGTAGAAATAAAAATGTAACAAATGATAAAGGAGTAGTTTCTTGAAGTAGCCCAAAATAATAGGCAACGTGAAATATTAAGCTGAATTGATCTATTTTAAGTATTTATATGAAACTTTCTGAATGTAATGAATAAGTAAGCTGAAACTTCTATAGTACTAAACTAGCACAGTTAAGTTTTCAAAATACTAAGTCTTTCTTCACTTAAGCCTGATATTCATATGACTCCAATATATTTGAGCTGCTGACTGGTTTGAAAACTCCCGGAAAGTGTTTTAGGCTCGACAGACACATTCACATGATTAAGTCTTTTCAGTCACAACGTATCCTTTCCTGATTGTAACGCTCCTGTCACATAACCCTTTCCCTAAAGAAAACAAACATCTTGAGTTTCAACTATCAGTGGATGCAGAGTAGACAAGCTGCTTCCTGTTTACAATGTCTCATGACCAGTGTACTTCTAAAGGTCATGTGATATGCATTTTTTAGGAATGCTAGTGTAGAGGGAGAATATTTCTGATACAGAGCTACTACTGTATTAGTATTAGTGTGAGCATAGCACCAAAGTATTGACTAAATGGTCAAAACAGCTCAAAGGCGACCTCCTGGATAAATGGTTAAAATTTTCATCTTCTGGCACTTCAAGGGGGCGAAGTGTAGTTAATCCCCAACAATGGGGATGCTTTTTATCAGAAAAAAAGTCACTGGTCTGAGCCTATAGCTGCTGGATTTTCTTGAAGGCTCTCTCGATACCCTCACGTCACCCTGGAGGTTTCTCCTTTCCTGCCTCTTCGTTTTTCCTCTGCAGCAGCTTTTTACTGTTAGCAGGACATTAGTGTTTCTCTTTTATTCTATACTATTGTTCTCCCAAACACATTAATTATTCATCCATATTCAGCTTTCAAAGCTTTTCACTCCACATTCTTCCCATCAAAGTGCCTATCAGCCCAACAGGGCTTCAAAACAAGGTGCTCCCCGATGGGAAACAATAGGGGATGTACTAACCGTAAAACCATCGTCTATTCTTTTGCTTTAAGAGTTTGAGGCAAGAGTAAAGCAAATAGGGGAGGAAGTCCCTGAGAAATGGTCAGGATCAACCAGATCACTCTCCGTCCTCTCTGATCATCGTTTTGTTATTTTGTGTGGAGCGAACAAGGGAGCTATAGAGTGGGATTATTTTTGCTGTGGTGGTTATTGTTCATTTCATTTACACTGTATAGATGTATTCGGAGCTGTGAGCATCTTATTGAGTAAGAGGCAGGTGAAGTGGTTTGTGATCAACCACAAGCAATCCACCATGCATTGCTTGTGGTCGCTTCAAAGGCTTAACAAATATGATATAGTGCGCAGAGCAGCGGCACACTTTGGAACTGGCTGAATAACTATCTTAGGACCAAGCTTAAATTATGTATGTGCAGTTCAGTACAGAGGTCTGTAAACAGTTATGCACTTAATGGACTAGATGACTGACAGCACCCTTGCCTCAGTGGCAGTGTGTTTTCTTTTTGGGTTGTGAGAAGGTTCAGGCTACTGATATCAGGCAGTGTCTTATTCAGACTTTTGTCTTAATGGGTAAATATCAGAATGCTGGTGTCAGTGTATATGTAATCAGTGTACGTGCTATCATCATGCACGTGGTGGAAATATTTTCTCGGCACGCTAATCCCCTGTGCAAGATATTTCTCACTGAATAGCTTGTGGAAAAGGAAATGAAAAAGGAGGCTGTCTTTGAATTTAACTGTGCCTTTGAGCCAGCTGACATTTGATTTCACATTACAGAGTGACTGCTTGGATCCTGTTTAGTTACAATATAAGAAGTGCAAAGTTTAAATTCACTCTCACATATTTTTCGGAAATTAACGAGCTGCAGACTATGAACAGAGGCAAGTCAAGTCGTCTCCGTACAGCTACAGATACAACAGCAGATACATAGCTCACACTCAGTATGAGGCTAAATGGAGTCGGTTTTCATCAGGCTTACCTCTGGATTCAATCGCCGGTCTTTGACATTGTATGTGTCGCACGATTTTGTTCAGCAGAGCGTTTTGTGATATTGTTTACTCGTTAATTTGGTCATTTCTCCTTGATCTGCAATGAGTCCATTGTGACAATACTCTGAGTGTGTAACTTCTGGCCCAGTACCATCAGTTTTGATTGAGTGATTTAATATATGAATATTTACGGTTTGTCCGTCCCCCCATCTGTTCCATTCTTGGGAACACGATATCTCATAAACACCAAGTGGTAATTCTTTCAAATTTGGTACAAACATTCAGTTGAACTTACATATGAACTGAATTTGGTCATCAAAGGTATATTTTTGGCTTGTAAATGAAACATCTCAGGTAATCATTGGTAAAAGGTCAAGGTCAGGGTGAACTTCGATTTCTGTGTGTTCAAAAGGTCAAGACCACAGCACCCTGACAAAACATGTTTCTGGCCTTTTGAATATGATTTCCTGACTGAAACTACATTGGCTGACAAAGACACAAAACCACAGGGCTGTAATTTTAGATGTGAAAATTGACGGGTTGAACGTTTGTTTCACATCCTGTTGGCCCGTATCTGCTCTGTGCAGCACGCCACTGCTTCTGTCAACTTAATATCCCTCTGTCAACTGAATGTAACCTAGATCAGATTTATGCACTGTAGTGTTCTGCCTATATAAAGAGTAATATAGGAAAGGTGCTACACATTAGCAGGGGCACTAGTTGTCTCTTGAACAGATCAGGTGTAACCTTTTACCACTAGTGCATAGAAGACGATTTTTTCTTGTTTTTCAGGAAGTTTGAATGAAGTGTTTTGAAGGTATGTAGGCAAAGCAAGGCAAATATATTTGTAGACCACATTTCAACAATGAGGAAATTCAAAGGGTTTTACTTAAGATATCAAATGCATCAGGACAAATTGTGAAAACAACATAATACAAAAAAATAAAAAGAGTTAAAAAATATTATACTTTTTATAAATTGAATGTAGAGGTCAGCCCAGGTTGTCTTCACTGCATGGGATGTGTGTTAGCAGTGACATATGAGGGAAATATCAGTCACTGGTTTAATACTCTGGATTCATGAGCTTATTACATTTCCTTTTCCTAACAAACTCACTGAAGAATGCTAAGAATGCAATTATCACTTAAAACTATTATTCAGCTGCCGTGGCTGTGGCCATCTGTACTATTTAAATTAGAAAACATTAATCATGTTGTTCTAGCACAGGCACAAGTGTACTCCTGGAGTTTCTCACACTAATGCTATTCACTGGGATGACCTGATTGCCGCTAAATGCCTTGACTTCAGCTAATGGTGTTGTCAAGTCGTGAAAACTGAATAATATTAGAATTTCCAGAAATAGGGCAATCTCACTGTGGAAATAAGAATGTAGTTCCATAAAGAAGCATCAGTTTTTGTCAGTGTTAATAGGAAAACTTTAAAAAAAACTCTGCCTGTATCTTATCATGGTATAATTTAAAATACTTAAAATCATTTAAACTTCATCTGCTTTCTAACTTCATTGCCTATTAACTTTATCCACCTTCTCCCACTAGCACCAGCCCTGCTCATAAGTACTACCTGGCCATGGACCCAATGGGGGAGGTTCTGTACGTGTCGGACACCAGCAGTCGCAGAGTGTATCGGGTGAGGAACCTCGGGCAGCCGAAAGACCCGTCACGCAACCTGGAGGTGGTGGCGGGGACAGGGGAGCAGTGTCTACCTTTTGACCAGAGCCACTGCGGAGAGGGCAGGAAGGCCACCGAGGCCGCGCTCAATAATCCTCGAGGTAGGAAAAACACAGACGCTACATCTGATCAACTCTCAGTCAAGTTTTCTCAGTCAGTTCAGTTAAAGCACACCACACATTTGCATGTCTGTCCATTGTGATCGTTAGTTGGTTCACACCCAATGTGCTCGGTTAAACTCATCCCTCTCTCACTGGGAGTGTAGAAACAGCTATTTATTTTTGCATCCCCCACAAAGATTGTATCTATGAGGGGAAACTGAAGTATGGCAAATTAAAGAAAATTTAACATTTATGTAATTATATAATATGTAACAGTTCTTCACTAAAATGTCTAAAAAAAGCTAGAACTATGGTATATTATATTATATATTTAGTTGACTTTTCTACTTAAATTATCCAAAATGTCCCAAATATTATTCCAGGTAACAGGACATTTCATTTTGGTAACTTTTTGATTGTGTCATATCTGTTTTACCTGTGGCTTTGACCATCCTTGCTACAAACATGGGGAAACAAATTACCTGTCATCCATGAAATGAGTAGCATCGGTTAGATTTTCATCAGCAATGGTAGTGAAAACCACATCTCCCATGATCCCATACTCTTTCAAAACATCAGCAAACTAACTCTTTTGTTATTGTTTTAACAAAAATGGTATATACATGAATTTATTTATTCTTATCAAGAGCAGTAGTCAGAGTATCAGTATTGAAATTGTCATGGGAGTCTACATCCTGATCTCATAAAAACTCATCGTATCCCTGCGACTTGTCCTCTCTGTGGGAGGTTACTGTTTTTATATTCAGAAACCTGCTCAGTTCTCAGTCATGTTCGGAAATATTCATTCACTCCACATGCTGCCTATTTTGAATTATCTTTAAATTATTAATTATTGGATAGTGCATAGCTTAGTGAACTAGTTTGTCTGACAATAGACAACCATGGCACAAACCCATGGTAATTAAATGTATTTTCTACAATATAAAGATACAACTAAATATATATATTTAATCAATTTTTAATTTTTATATCAATTTTCTGAGGTGTATTCTGGGACACATGACTGTTTGCACTGAAAGAGTCATTTCTCATATAATTCATGCAATCATAGTTTAACTGTCTGCCCTCAGATAGATAGATAGATAGATAGATAGATAGATACTTTATTGATCCCCAATTTAAGAGAAACAATTAGATATGCTGCAGCATTAAAATGGTTGATTTATTCATAAATTCTGACATAATTATGATCTTACATCACCATTCTTTTATAATATGAATTAATTAATTAACCAGCAAGAATTTATTTTTACTCTCAATATTAATGATTATATTTGTGACCTACTCCCTTCACATGATTTACCTTAAATCATAACTAATTGTTACAAAATGTTGCTTTTATTTCTAACGAGAAAATTGCCTGTTGTGTCTGCCAAACTACAGCTCTCACACAGCAGATGTTTTGCCATGTCACCACAGGAAAAGCACAAATATGGCTAATGAAACCAGTAATTATGGCTGCAGTCCATTCAGGTGCTCCAGTGTCAGGACACTGGTGTTGTGCATGTTGGCTCACTGTCAAAATGTCTGTGTAGAAAAAAAACAAGGTCTGTTGTGTCAGCTTTGTAGTCAACAACTCACCACATGTAGAGCTCTGTAAAAGGAGCAATCTATTCTGGGTTGAACTGACTCATCCACAAAGCCTAAATTACATGAATTGTAAAGGAATGCATCGAGTTTGTTTTCTTCCTGTGATCATTCACAGCGACACACAGTGCGGCAACAATTAACTTAAACATCATGCATGCACATGTGATTAGACCTTTGAGCTCATTCCATATTCATGTTACATTTATTGCCGGTTATACACACACATGCAATGGTGTACTTTTCAAAATTTTTCAAAAAAACGGGAGGCCATAAAGGAGCCACACTTTACACAGAGGGCCGATTATATGTGCAACATCCATCGAGACCTGGCTTGGGAACCAGAGGGTGGCCAGGTCAAGTCCTGCATGGACGGAAATTGGAGAGGTGCCAGTTCACCTCCTGGGCACTGCCGAGGTGCCCTTGAGCAAGGCACCAAACCCCCCAATTGCTCCCTGGGCGCCTTCATGGCTGCCCAATGTGTTCCGTGTGTTCTGTGTGTTCACACGGATGGATTAAATACAGAGGTCAAATTTCCATAAAGAGGAATCTTAATCTTAATGACCCATTCCTGATCCAGTGAGGGGCATATTTAAGTCCTGATAGCACTGTAGCCACACATAATTGAATATATCTTGGAAATTGTTCATTGTTCAAGCAAAGGAAATAAGAAAAAAGAAAAGAATTTCAGCTGGAACAAGGGTACACCTGGCCCCGCCCCTGGATCAGCCCCTGCACTCATACAGTATAATGCACATAGTATTGCATAGTATAGTATAGTATAATTCCCTTTAACACAAAGTACATGCCTCTGCAGCAACAGCAGCTGAGTACAAACTAACCATCAACTGCACACTTTGCCATCCAGAGGGAGGTCGGCACAGTAATATTAGATACTGGCAAAGAAATAGCTGTACTGTGTGATAAGATGGTCATGGCACGAAAAGTTATTTGATCTTTTTTATTGAAACGGCAATAATAGCCTAACTAATAGGGTAAGCATGGCTTCCCCTGGCTTATTGGAGAAAATGGCACTTGTGGGCTCTAAACTCAACCAGAATAGGCCTGTCATATTAAGCTTTTCTAATACACACAAGGCTGAAGATTCAGCCCAGATTCCCTGCTAGCTTTAGCCCAGTTCAAGCTGAATTTGAGTTAATGCACATATATATCAGACGTTAAGCCTGGAGTCTCGATTAGAGTTGGTTAATCGTTCTACCCTCTCTTATTAGCTGACAGGAGTGGATTACAGAGTGTCTTCTCTGCTGTTGTACTACATTTCTATTTCCTTTCTTCTGGCCTGCCTGCATGCTAGAACTATAGATTTTGAAAGTAGGGGTGTTGGGGTGAGACAGCCCCCCCTATCGACAGCTTCCCTTTACTGCAACACTTATTTTGTTCTTTTTTCCAACAACATTACAGTTTTGCAAAACAGTCAGTAATGCAAAGGTTGACATGTTGTCCATTTGTATAATAATATACATTATATTGTGATTAGTTTGAGTTATGGGAGAGCACAAGTGTTTTATGTGTCAGAAATTGTTGCTCTGCCATATAAAATCTATAGAGCCACACACAAATATTTAAATCATTTTTTTTAATAAAGAATTAGTTCTGACTTTAATTGATGTCTTTCATGTTTCCTTACAGCATAAATAATGTAGTCTTTCATAGACTGTTTGACAGAAATAATCTATCTGCAGTGGAGGAAAGACTTAAAAACTTAACTCGAGTAAAGATTCTCATAAATTACTCAAGTAAAGGTCAAAATTAGCATTACAGAAAAAAAACTGAAGTAAAAATCGAAAGAATTCTGCCTACATTTGTACTTCACAGAATAAATATGACTTTAAAAAGTAAAAGTACAGTTTCTAAATGTGCAAGGTTTCATGCACCAGCTGAGCACTGCAGAAACCTAGTTTTCTATTTTTGCCTGACTGATTATAAAGCCAGTCCTCATTCACAAATGGTCTCATTCAAGTAGGCTACAGATATTTGTACCTTTAAGGCGAAGCATTATTTGCCTAATGTCTTTTGACTTGGTATTTTTATTAAAACATTTGGTTAAGTTTGTTGATATGAGCATGCTTGATATAGAGTATACTCAATATTTTCTACTGTCATAATGATGGAGATTTTGCTTTTTCCCAGTAGCTGCATGCTTCTCAAATAATTTGAACTTGAAATTTAAGCTTTGGGTCTGACTCATAAATAACTGAGTGTAGTCAGCACTGATATGTTGGACAGGACTGCCTTTTAGATTGCCAGAGCAACAGACAATAACAGAGCCAGAGATGCTTATTTTAACGTGATGAATGCACTTATTAACCTTATCCATCCTTAAGTAGGCATTTTCTAATGTCACATATTTATATATTGATTTTGTTTTCTATTTTCTAGATTTGTGACAGTATTCAGTCTTGTCTTTGTGTGTGGATGAATTGTCTGTGCACTTTTGTTTGTCCTCCCGTTTGCATTAAATTGCCCATTGAGGAACGAATAATGATGAGGACTTGGCATGGTGGGGCATCAGGACAGAAGTCACAATGGTGGGAGGGGTCTAATATGTCTAATATTTGCATTAGATGAATTAATTAGCACCCCCTCACCAAAAATAGTTATAAAGTCACTGCTGGAATATTTCCAATAAGGCATTGGCTGTGTCCGAAATCTCTTTCTAATCACTACAAAGTAAGTTCACCATTTTGTAGTGCTGAATGTTTAGTGACATTTTTATACACTATAGTAGACTCATTATTGACCTCAATGCACAATAAAAGTAGTGTACAACCAATGGTCAATAACTGAGCAATATATACCATCATGCATTGCACTCCCTGCATTGACAGGAAGAAAAATGGTGGAGAGATTAGAGGAGAGAGGGCAGCAGGAACAGCTTAACGTGTAAGAGCAGCGCATCACAGCACAAAGTGTGGCAAACAAGTTCATTTCTAAAATGAACATTTAAAATGTATGTTGGGATTTACCACCAGCCAACGTCATTATTTGGTGACAATGATGTAATTACCAGCACGTGCTTTTGGACATGTGCTGGTAATTCATCATTGTCATTGTACGTTAATTGCTGATGAGCTCACTATATAGTCATCAATTTAAATTTTGAAATGACAACTGACCTTGACATGTGCTCATACTCATCACAAGTGATGCAAGGAACACAAGAAATAGAGAAACTAAAAACTGTCAAAAACAGGAGAACATGAACAGAGAACACTCAAAGCCAACAACACTCTGGCAACAAAGGGGGAAAGACAATTTACATGAGGACTAATTAACAGTCGAGACATAGTTTATAAAGCAGAGCAGAAAAAAATAAAGACAAGAACTGAAAAACAACAGACATGAAAAAAGGACCATGTCAATATAAAATA